ATGGAGACCTTCCTCAACCACCTCTGACTAACCAGTCCTTTAAAAAATGGCACTGACAATGCCATTGTCAAAGGATGGTTGATTAACTCCTTGAAACCATTGTTAATCAGTAACTTCATACGATTTCCTACAGCAAAACTTGTTTGGGACTTCATTGATACCACATATTTTGATGGAAGTGATACTTCTCAAGTATACGACCTCAGGCGTCGAGTTTCTCGTCTCCGACAGAATAGAGGATCTCTTGAAAAATTTAGCGTGAAATAGATTTCCGTCATCCAAATCCCATGGAATGCCCGAAGGATATCAAACACTACAATTCTACCATTCAGGAGGATCGGGTGTATACCTTTCTGGATGGTCTTGATGATCGATTGGATAAAATCAGGGGGGATGTTCTTCAACTACGTCCGTTCCCTACAGTTGAACAGGCATACGCCCTTGTTCGTAGAGAAGCCATTAGACAAGCCGTGATGATCACTGAAAGCACCGAACCCATGACAGGTGCTGTCTTAACTTCTAAAAGCCTTAAGTTAGGATCAACGACCACAACTTCTACATGATCTGGAGGAGGAAAATCATCAAACAACAAAGCCACAAATAATGAACAGCAATGCTCATACTGTGGAAGCAAGAGACATACTCGAGAAACCTGTTTCAAATTGAATGGATATTCAGAATGGTGGACTGAACTCCAAGCCAAAAAACCCAAAGATGGAATGGACAGAGGAATGGGCAAGGCAAGAGTAGCTAATGCAACGGCTGGTGAAGATGCCACATCTCACCTTTCTCTACGATCCAATGAAATTGCCCAAGAATCAGGTACCTATAATAATACAGGAGTCACCCAAGATTTTAACTCTCACTGGAATAAAAATAAAGCCATGGAAATTGGGCGTGTGTTTTACGGGAACACAACTTCAACAACTCACTGAAATGAAACTAAAAATCGGGGCATTTGGCTACTAAATTCTGGTGCAAGCAATCATATGACTTTTGATTCGGCTGATTTTTCTGAAATCTCTCTACAAAAATGCACGCGTGTAGAAAATGCTAACGGAGTGATTTCTCCTGTCACAGGAGCCGACACTGTGAATTTATCCCCAAATTTGAAATTATTTAGTACCCTTCTTGTTCTTTCTTTGTCTCATAAATTATTATCTGTCAGTCAGATCACTGCAGATTTAAATTGTGTTGTACTTATTTATCCTACCTTTTGTTTACTTCAGGATGTTCTCACGAAGAAGATCATTGGGCGTGGTACTAGAAGGGAGGACCTATACTATATGGAGGATTTCAATTTAGGGCAAGCACATCACATGAATCACCTCACCAGAACTAATGAGAAACAGATTTGGTTTTAGCATCGTCGTTTGGGACGTCCGTCATTTACCTATATGAAGTATTTATTTCCTAGTTTATTTTCACATACACAACTTGATGACTTAAAATGTAATACTTACATTTTAGCTAAAAGTCATCGAGTCCCATACCTAGTAAGATCGAATAAAAGTACTATTCCATTTGCACTAGTTCATTCCGATGTATGGGGTCCTTCTCCAGTCTCTACTATTTCTGGCATACGATGGTTTGTGGTTTTTGTAGATGATTGTACACGAATGACCTGATTATATTTGTTGAAAAATAAAGATGAAGTACTGAATGTGTTCCAAGCCTTTCATGCCATGGTTCAAACTCAATTCTCGAGAAAGATTCAAACTCCATTCTCGAGAAAGATTCAAACTCCTCGCTCAAATAATGGTGGCGAATATGTCAATCATCGGTTTCAAGAATATTTCAGACAATAAGGTCTCCTTCATGAAACTTCATGTCCCCAAACACCTCAACAAAATGGAGTTGCTGAAAGGAAGAATAGACACATTCTTAACTGCACGTGCTCTACTAATTGGAGCTCACATTCCCAGCTAATATTGGAGATTACTCAACTGCATGCCGTCCAAAGTCTTGAAGTTTAAGACACCACTTCAGCCCTATCAACGTATGTCACATTTAGGGGTGGACGGGGGTCGGTTCGATTCTCACATTTAGGGGTGGACGCGGGTCGGTTCGGTTCGGTTCTCGGGTATTTAGTAAATGGAATCGTCGGGTCCAAATATAATTATGGAATCGTTCGGGTTCGGTTCGGTTCCGTTCGGTTCTGTACTATAATTAAATTTTTTAACATTTATAACAACATTATATAAATACAACTAATGACACATTCAATGATTTTGAAATGTCAGAGACTGGTAAACTACCTTGTTCAAATGATCGCTACGGTCAAAATTTCGATTGGAGGAGTTCGATCGGAGATCACAGCGTCGGTCGACGATTGTATAGGTTTTGGAATGTCAGCGAGGTTGCGAGAGTCGAGACAGCGTTATGCACTTTAGTGTAGGTGTTTAGGGTTATTAAGTGGGTTGTATCTTGTTGGGCTAAGAAATGAGACAATAAAAGGGGTAATTGGGCCAAAATTAAAAAATTAGAAATGAAACAAATTATTGGGCCAAAAATTTGGATTTAGAAATTGTTAATTTGATTTTGATGATTGCTCCCAAGATCTTTGGCTGTGTTGCCTATGTTCATATCCACAAAAATCAACGTACAAAGCTCGACACTTGTGCCATTCGATGTCTTTTCTTGGGATATGCCTCACATCAAAAAGGATACCGGTGCTATGATCCCATCAATAAACGCACTTATGTGACTATGGATGTCACTTTTCTGGAATCTGGGACTTCCCCCCCCCCCTCGATATCCAATTCTTCTCTTCAGGGGAGGGCCTCAAGTTAAAGAGCCGAATTGGTTATGACTAGATTGGGTTGAGGTTCAAGACAACGAAGTTCAAGGCAACGAAGAAATAACCAATGATAAAGTGCTTTCAAGTGTGGAGGTTTTGGCATTAAGAACTGAAACTGATGTTGTTTCCCATTCTTCAGTACCCAACGATGCATCTCCTGAGAATATTCGTAAGGTAAGCTCTACTGTCCCTAATATGAATACTCCTATTATATACAACTTACTTGTCATGCATAATCGGGGCAAGCCACCAAATTGATATTCACCAGATATTGAAGAACGGAGGTCAAAATACCCAATTTCAAATTATGTGTCTACCGAGAAGATATCGGAGCCTCTAAAGTCATTTGCACACAAAGTGACCTTGTCCCATGTTCCCATTGGAATTCAAGAAGCTTTAACAAATCCAAAGTGAACTCAGGCAATAAAGGAAGAAATGGAAGCATTACTAAAGAACAAGACATGGACACTAGTGCCCTTGTAAGAAGGAAAGAGACCCGTGGGATATAGATGGGTATTCTCAATTAAATACAAGGGAGATGGATCTATTGAGAGATATAAAGCAAGATTAGTGGCAAATAGCTATACTCAGACTTATGGTATAGACTATCAGAAAACTTTCTCACCAGTAGCCAAGTTAGATACTGTAAGAGTTTTATTATCTCTAGCAGTAAACCTTGATTAGCCTTTACACCAATTTGATGTCAAGAACGCCTTTCTCCATCGATGATCTTGAAGAGAAGGTCTACATGGATGTTCCTCCAGGATATACAGTATATTTAGGGACTAATATGGTGTGTAAATTACAGCGAGCATTGTACGGAGTGAAACAATCGCCTCGAGCTTGGTTTGGATGATTCAGCCAGGCAATGAAGAAATATGAATTCCAACAAAGCAACTCGGATCATACGTTGTTCCTAAAGCACCGAACTGGCAACATAACTTCTTTGATAGTCTATGTTGATGATATGATTATCACAGGGGATGATATAGAAGAAATATTAAGAATTCAGAAACACTTGGCAACTGAATTCGGGATGAAGAATATAAGAGGATTGAAGTATTTTTTGAGAATCGAAGTTGCAAGGTCCAAACAAAGGAAATTTCTTTCACAAAGAAAATATGTGCTAGACCTACTATCAGAGGTGGGACTACTAGAATGTAAACCTACTGACACTCCAATTTTTCAAAATCACAAGCTTGGTGAACATACGGATTAGGTACCAACGAACAAAGGAAGGTACCAAAGACTAGTGGGAAAACTCATCTACCTTTCTCATACTTGCCTAGACATTGCATATGTTGTAAGCGTAGTAAGCCAATTTATGTACCGTCCTCGTAAGGACAATATGGATACAGTATTTCATAAACTTCAATTCCTGAAATCATCCCCTGGAAAAGGTCTCATGTTTGGGAAGAATAATCACTTAAGAGTGAATGGCTATACAGATGCGGACTGGGCATGTGTTATCACGAATAGAAAATCCACTTCGAACTACTTCATGTTTGTAGGTGGAAATCTCGTTACATGGAAAGCAAGAAGCAGAAAGTAGTGGCATTATCAAGTGCTGAAGCTGAGTTTCATGGAATGGCTAAAGGATTGTACGAGCTTCTTTGGCTCAAAAGACTACTAATTGAGATTGGATTTGGACCTTCGTTTGGAATGGATATCTTCTACAACAATAAAGCTGCTATTGCTATCTCTCACAATCCTGTTCAACGTGACCATACCAAACATGTGGAGGTAGATCGACATTTTATCAAACAAAATCTTGAGGATAAAATAATTCGGTTTCCATCTGTTAAATCTGAAGATTACTTGGCAGACATTCTTACAAAAGCGATTTCTAGCAAAGATTTCTACAGCTCACTAGACAAGCTGCGCATCACGGACCTCTACGCATCACCTTGAGGGGGAGTGTTGGCGTGAGCTGTATAATTGAGAGATTGAAGCATAGACAAATCTCTTAATTATAGGGATTTCCATAACTTAAACTAAAAATCTATATAGTCCAAAGATAGGTGTTTATGTTCTCCTATTTATATTCTACATCACTGTAAAAGAAAAGTAAGAAAAACAAATGATTCTTTCCCAAATCAGTAAATTTTTCCACAATATCTTCCTATTAGATTTATTTTTATTTTTTTCCTATATTATACCTACACACGAGGTGTTAATTTTAACCGGTACAGTTACTTACTTTGCTAGTTTCGCCCCTCCAAGAGCATGGAAGCTGTTAATAAAATGTCCAGTAGCAGTACCACTAGGATACACCAACTTCAAGTCTACGATCATTATCTAGATACAAAAAATGTGATGAATCATTCACGATTCAAAAATATTAAAAATTTATATATTGGACTGTATAACACTTTCCAACATATACCACATATGAACGGCAAGAAATAGGAAAATTTATAAAGATCTTGAGCCACATTCTGATAGCACTGTAAGTTGGATAACACATGTATACAAAGTTATCTTTGCATTGTATCTTCATGTTCTGATTCATTTTGAATCTTTAGCGTTGGGTCTTTAGATTTTATCGTTGGTACAACTTTTGATTGTTAGCTCGAGAATGTCCGGAGTACTTGTACATGAATTTTGATCAATATAAATTTACATTTACCAATAAAAAAAATGTAAAGCATACCTTACGAAGAGAAACCACTGAGAAAAGACCTGAGAAGCTTGTTACAAAAAGAAAGCCAATCATCCATCCTAGTGTCGGGTTTTTGTAGTTCATATCATGTTTGGCTTCTGTTGTTTGTTTGGCAGCATGTTCACTCATTCCAAGCAGGTAAGTTCCATAGCCTCCTGCACAAGATGCTCATGTAAGATATTCTGTGTGAGCAAGGGGGGAGCGAAGAAAGATTGGGAACGTATATACTGACCGCTAAAACTGATGCCTGTGGAGGCTGAAACGCAGGTTTGAATGACTGTAATTTCTTGGCGGGTCCATGGCTGTTTCAACATGCCAGCTTTCTCAAGTGTTTTAATTAAAATTTTGACATAGAAGAATCCCAATACACTAGAAGCGACAGTAAATGATGGTATAGGACTAACACCGAAGTTGAGTTTCATGATTATGAAGCATATCTTCACCGACAACACAAAACTCACCACAAAGGCTCTTATAGTTAACGGTTTTGTCCATGAAGGTAACTCCTCGTTCTCAAATATCCCATCTACTGACAATTCATCATCTGATAATGTGTTAATATTTTCATCACGCAAAAAAGGGGGGGGGGTTGGAATCTAATAGGGTGGTCCCACGATCCTGGAAAAATTTATGCATTGAAAATTGTACCACTCAAGACATGACCCTAAGAGAGTTATAAATATTGGGTCCTACTTTGCAAGAAATTCATTACTTCTATTAATTTTTCCCCAATTGTACGTTCCACAACTATTAAGCCTTGTTTGAGCTCCATTAAGCCCATGATTGAGGAAAAAATTTGAATTTACGATAACATTATTTTATGGGAAAATATGGTCGAAAATGAATTCTGAAAAATCAACTCTATCATGCATATTAAACCATTGCAATATACGGATTGATTCAACTTTATCTTGCATAAAATTAACCCATTGCGATATATGGGTTGGAATTCCAGAGGAGGGACAAGTTAGAAATTAGTCCATACAAGTTACATCCATCCAACTAAGACCACCTTTGCTAAGCTTCACAAGTTTACTTATTAGTAAATAATTTCAAAATAAATAATTTTTTTGCAAATCTACATTAGAAATAAGTTAATTATTTTGACAATAAAGTCATAATTACTTTTAGAATAAACATTTATTTAAAAAAAAAAAGAAAAAAAGAGAGAGTAAGTTATCACATAAAAGTAACTTAAAAGTGATTTTTAAGATTAGCTGAGCATGCTCTAAGTCAACAGATTTTCTTATACATCTTAAATTGCATTAGTTCACACTTGGAATAAATCTTGATCAATCTTCACACTAGCTGAGCAATCAAATTCATAACGTAAAAAGAAATGTAAAAAGATGATAGATATATGTCCATAATTGAGTTTGAATTTAGAAAATTGAAAATAACTTAGAAACTACTTATTTCTCTTTACTTTTCGATTTACCACTCAAACTTTGAGATGACTTCAATCATTTCAGCAAAACAGACAAAAATGTCACCTAAATAATCACAATCATTGACAAGATTGGTCTATGATACTTCCACATTGACAAAAAAAAATTAGTATTTTTCCACTCTTGATAGTATAAAATCCTCCAATGGGTACCATCTTGATTATGACATTCATTTAGTCATCACCAATGGAACTGTGTAAAAATCATCAAGTCAACACTAATTGTATCATAATTTTTTTCTCTCTCTTAATTGTACAACGAAGTATTGAACTTATTGTCCAAAGAAGCAAGTTTTGAACTACTTTATAGGGTTTCAACTTGACAAACACGCTCATAATAATAGACAACCCAAGATTGTGAAATAATATGGATGCAGTGAAAAATATAACAAAAATTTTGTGATGGACAACAATTCGAAGACTTGAACCTTACCAAGTCTTCGAGTTGTTGGGTCCTACTTTACAAGAAAATTCAGATTTTCAATTAATTAGTTTCTCCTACGCAGTTTTATGACTGTCCAAGATAATATTTGTAAAACTTGTTTGCCTCAACTGCAAAGCTACAAAAATAGAAGAAACTCACTTATTTCAACATCAAGAAGGGTGTAACTTTACACATTTTATCTGTCGATCTGGACAAAATACCATAAGATAAAAGAAGCAAAGGCAAACATGCTGACACGATTTCCTCCTCACATTGTATCCAGTTGTGGATGCAGGTACTGGCCATTTGCCGGAACCGTCGGTCGCTAGGCGCCTCTCAGGGGTAAGTCTCAGATGACAGATTTCGCCGCCCTAGCTAGATTCATTTGTCGTTGGTTGTTGTGTTGGCTGTTGGAGTGTTGCAGTGTTGGGCCACCTTTTTTTTTTTTTTTTAAATCAGGCCCAAATTAAAAGGCCCAAATCAGCATTCATCCATTATAGACCATAAGGTCTCTTCCAGTCCACTACAAGTACAGCAGAAGGTAGACTGGCAGAGGCAATGGAGTCTCTAACGACCAGCAACACTTTCCTCGAATTAGTCCCATTTCCGATTTCCTTCCTGTCAATTAAACCGATTGCCAGAGAGATCAGAGAAGAGCAAACCCTTCGTGAGTTCTTCCCAATTCCTTCCCATTATTTACATGTTTTTTCCCCCAATTCCTTCCCCCAAATCACCATTCATTCACCCATTATTTACATGTTTTTTTCCTGGCATATTTATTGTTTAATTATTGTTTTTTTTTTTTGAGTAGTTTATTATGCTCTATGTTTGATTTTTAGGATTTTGAATTGCTTCGGCTTCGATTCGAGGCTTATTGTTTGGGGATTTTGTTACAAATTATTGAAAGTTTTGTAATGCCAAAGTGATCCGGTGCTTATTATCAACTCAAATGACTTTTGAAGCCTTAAAGTGAGTTTCAATTGAAGATGAAAGTAGATCAAAGTTTAATTATCTATTTTATTTCTACGTTCTTTATTACTTTTGGAGCAGAAGTTTTGAAAAATCTGGTTAACTTAGCCTAATCGAGTGTTGTTTCTGGCATAAGAGCATATCTTATTACATGCCACTAGGTCAAACATTTGAAAAGTACTTGTGAGCCAGTGAAAAGGAGAACATGTAAGATGGAAAAATTTTTTGTATGACAGTAAGAACTTGAATTTGGCAGTTGAATGAATACATGTTATTAATTATAAGAGTGTATCTATTTAATGTGTCTGAGGATTTTTATCAAAATGGAGTGGTCAATGCTGCAACTAATTCTACTTGCTTGACTTTTTTTCTTTGTATGTCTATCATTTGATTCATTTCTTTCGAATGAGTTTCGATGGTTGATCATATCTTGACTTTCTAATTCAAATTTCACGTGTAAATCTCTAGCATCTTAAAATGTTAAATGGGCTAGCCTTAAATGGCTTTTCAACGATCGGCCACCGACCGAATCGGGCTTTTAAGATCGTTGATTGTCGACGGCCAACGGTCAAAGTCAACCTCCGCCCTAACTGAACATTGATGCTGGATTCGCCCCTGCTTGCTCCACTAGTGCTTCACCGTCTTCTTCATTCGTTGAACGTCTGAAACCCTTCTTATCACAACCTGATATCCCTAGTAGTTTCACATCAAATAAATTTTACCCATCATATCGAAACACAAAGATGTCCCCTGCCTCGACCGAGTTATCTTGAACAAATTTTTCCCAGCCATCACAAAAAAAAAAAAAGTCATTTCCAATTTTGGCCGCTTTTACGAGCCACAAATTCTTTTTTCGGTCTATTGGATATGCCCTCTCTAGTGGAGGTCCTTTGAGTTGTGAACTAAAGGCTGTTGGAAGTTCCTACATGCAATAAGTTAAATGGAATTAGATATGAGTGAAACTCTTTATACATTAAAGAGTCCTTTCTAGTTTAATGCATAGTTTCATAACTGAGATTTTTTAGCATGTCATGAACCTAACGTTAAATCTTTTCATGCATATATTCTTATGGAATTTTTTTATTTCATTTTATTTAAAATATAAATAATGAAATAAATATAATAAACAATTGAATATTCAATAAACAATTAAAATAAATGAGAAATTAATATAAATAATTAAATGAAGTAAATAAAAATGAAATAAACTATTAAAATAAGTAATTAAATATTAAACAAACAATATACATAACCAATTAAAGTAATTAATGAGATATTTAAATTAAATATTTAATAATTAATTTAATAAATCAAATAATACTTTAATTGTTTATGTGTATTATTTGTTTAATATATAATTATTCATTTTATACTTTATTTGTTTATTTAAATATTTCACGAATTATGTTAATTATTTATGTATATTGTTTATTTAAATAAAAATAAATAAGTAATTGAAATAAATTAAATAAATATTAATAAAATAATTAAAATAATGAATTGAAATAATAAATAACTAATTGAAACAAATTCAATAAACAAGTAACTTAAATGTTAATTAAGCAATAAAAATAATTAATTAACATAAATAACAAATAAATATAAATAATGAAAACTAGTTTAAATATGTAATTAAATATTATAAACAATTGAAATAAATAATTAGAATTTAAATATTAAATAAACATTTTAAATGAACAATAAATATAAAAAATGTAATTTAAATAACTAATTAAATATTAAAAAAATAAATAAACAATTGAAATAAATAATTAACGTTTAAGTATTAAATAAATAATTTAAACGAACCATAAGTATAAATAAGAAAAATAAGTAATTAAATATTAAATAAACAATTGAAATAAATAATTAACATTCAAAATAAACAATTAAACATTCATTATCAATTAAAATAATTATTAAATAAACAACAAAACAATTAAAATAAATAATTTAAATACAGATTTAAATATTGAATAAATAATTTAAATAATTAATTAACAATTAAATATTCAATAAACAATTTAAACAAATAGTTAACAATTAAATATTTAATACACAATTTAAATAAGTAAATAAACTATTTAATTTTCAAATATTATGCTCTATCTATTATCTCTTATGCAAAGTTCAAATATTTTAAAATTTACAAGATGAATTACCATTTGGACGTCGCTATGAGACAGATTCCCGACAAAATTACGTCGAACTATAATTTTGTCAGTTTCGCATTAGTTATAGATTTGTTGGATAAGGAGCGCGCAGACCTGTTACACTGATCCTGCTTATGACGGTAACTTTGGCACGGTTAGGAGATGCAATCAATGAATGCGACGATATGTTTGACAAGTTGAATTTGGGGATTTTTATACTAGAGAGCATACTGAGGTGTCATCACAATAAGACGTCATTCGACGTCTTTCATTTTGAAGTTGTTGATGACATTGACACATTCAACAACTATCTATGGAGACAAAGCTCACAGTTATCAGCTCTCCTCAATGATCATGAGGTACGTATTATTCATTTGTGATTTAAATTGTATGTCATTTCGAAATCTCGATGCATGCATGGTCATTAACTCGGTGAAATGTTAATATGTCAGCTTGAATTGCTCGCTGA